ACACTGTGCCGCTTCTGCCTACAGTCTGGAAGACCCCTGATCTTTCTGGGCATAAAATAGCCAGATGCTGCCACTCATGACAAAGCCCTCGAAGGTGGCCATTGACCCTGCCCTGTGGACCCAGAGCTCCTAGAGCCAGGAAGAACCACCCTTCTGCTCAGCCTTAAAAGTTAAAACCTCCAATAGCAATAAGACAGCATAAAGGGATCAAGGGGATTCGTATTGGAAAGGAAGAAGTTAAGCTTTTGTTATTCGCAGATGATATGATAGTATACATAAGTGACCCCAAAAAATCTACCAAAGAACTCCTACAGCTGATAAACACCTTTAGTAATGTGGCAGGATACAAGATCAACTCCAAAAAATCAGTAGCCCTCCTATACACAAAGGATAAGGAACCAGAGGGAAATCAGAGAAGCATCACCTTTCACGATAGCCACAAAGAGCATAAAATATCTTGGGGTAACTCTGACCAAGGAAGTGAAAGATCTATTTGACAAGAACTTTAAGTCTTTGAAGAAAGAAATAGAAGAGGACACGAGAAAATGGAAGGATCTCCCTTGCTCTTGGATTGGGAGGATCAACATAGTAAAAATGGCAATTCTACCAAAAGCAATCTATAGATTCAATGCAATCCCCATCAAAATCCCATCAAAATTCTTCACAGATCTGGAGAAGACAATAATCAACTTTATATGGAAAAACAAAAAACCCAGGATAGCCAAAACAATCTTATACAATAAAGGAACGTCTGGAGGCATTACCATCCCTGACTTCAAACTCTATTACAGAGCTACAGTATTGAAAACAGCTTGGTATTGGCATAAAAACAGAGAAGTCGACCAATGGAATCGAATAGAAGACCCTGACTTTAACCCACAAACATATGAACACCTGATTTTCGATAAAGGAGCTAAAAGTATACAATGGAAAAAAGAGAGCATCTTCAACAAATTGTGCTGGCAAAACTGGATGTCAATCTGTAGAAGAATGAAAATAGACCCATATCTATCACCATGCACAAAACTCAAGTCCAAGTGGGTGAAAGACCTCAATATCAGTCCAAACACACTGAACCTGATTGAAGAGAAAGTGGGAAGTACTCTACAACACGTGGGCACAGGAGACCACTTCCTACGTATAACCCCAGCAGCACAGACAGTAAGGGCCTCATTGAATAAATGGGACCTCCTGAGACTGAGAAGCTTCTGTAAAGCAAAGGACACTGTTGCTAAGACAGAAAGGCAACCCACTGACTGGGAGAAGATCTTCACCAACCCCGCAACTGACAAAGGTCTGATCTCCAAAATATATAAAGAACTCAAGAAACTAGACCGTAAAAGGCTAATCAACCCAATTATAAAATGGGGCACTGAGTTGAACAGAGATCTCTCAACAGAAGAAGTTCAAATGGCCAAAAGACACCTAAGGTCATGCTCAACTTCCTTAGCGATCAGGGAAATGCAAATCAAGACAACTTTAAGATACCATCTTACACCTGTCAGAATGGCGAAAATCAAAAACACCAATGATAGCCTTTGCTGGAGAGGTTGTGGAGAAAGGGGTACACTCATCCATTGCTGGTGGGAATGCAAACTTGTGCAACCACTCTGGAAAGCAGTGTGGAGGTTTCTCAGGAAATTCGGGATCAACCTACCCCTGGACCCAGCAATACCACTCTTGGGAATATACCCAAGAGAGGCCTTATCATACAACAAAAGTATATGCTCTACTATGTTCATAGCAGCATTGTTTGTAATAGCCAGAACCTGGAAACAACCTAGATGCCCTTCAATTGAAGAATGGATGAAGAAAGTATGGAATATATACATATTAGAGTACTACTCAGCAGTAAAAAACAAGGACTTCTTGAATTTTGCAGGCAAATGGATGGAAATAGAAAACACTATCCTGAGTGAGGTAAGCCAAACCCAAAAAGAGGAACATGGGATGTACTCACTCATATTTGGTTTCTAGCCATAAATAAAGGACATTGATCCTATAATTCATGATCTTAGAGAAGCTAAATAAGAAGAAGAACCCAAAGAAAAACATATAGGCATCCTCCTGAATATTAACCTTCATCAGGCGATGAAAGGGACAGAGACCCACATTGGAGCACCGGACTGAAATCTCAAGGTCCAAATCAGGAGCAGAAGGAGAGAGAGCATGAGCAAGGAACTCAGGACTGCGAGGGGTGCACCCACACACTGAGACAATGGGGATGTTCTATCGGGACTCACCAAGGCCAGCTGGCCTGGGTCTGAAAAAGCCTGGATTAAAACCGGTCTCGCCAGACAATGAGGACTACTGAGAACTCAAGAACAATAGCAATGGGTTTTTGAGCCTACTGCATGTATTGGCTTTGTGGTAGCCTAGGCAGTTTGGGTGCTCACCTTACTAGACCTGGATGGAGGTGGGTGGTCCTTGGACTTCCCACAGGGCAGGGAACCCTGATTGCTCTTTGGGCTGACCTCAAATGTCAGGAACAGCTTCTCCCCAGTGCGTGTATTAGCTAGCATCATCCCTCCAGGTCTTCCTGTTCACACCTGAGGAGTCTGTGCTGGTCCAGGCAGCATCCACTGTCTTACCAAGGCACAGAAAGGTGTTATTTTCTCAAGTGTTATTTCCTGCAGGTTCCGGGCACACCTGAGCCAGGCCTGTGCCCCTATCCTTACGACTGTGTGGATCTCCCAGGACTCGTCCTGCAGGAGCTGACACACCCACTGCAGGGAAGGCGCTGGGCTTTAGCTCCCCGCAGAAGCTGAGCTTGGTGAACAGGACCAGCCACTTTGTCCTCCTCCTCTACAGAGGCTGGGCAAACGATGAGGAAAGAAAAGGGAACACAAGGAGTAAGGTTTTCAAATGCAAGGTATTTCGAAAGTTAGGAAAAGCTGTTCATTGAGGTCAGGTGGAAGTGAAGGGGAAACACGAAGCCGAGGCGTAGTGGTGAAATGCATTGTGGGGAACCACAAGGACCTGAGTCTGCAATGCCAGCTAATGCAGGGGGCACAGTTCGAAGGCAAGGAAGGCATCCCATAGGCTGTCACTGCAGCGCTGAGTCTAACAGCAGTCTCTGGGGAAAATCCAATGTCTGGTTACCTGAGAACATCTAAGTTAGACCAGATCAATTTGATCACGTTGTGTACAATAAAAACAACAATAACAGCATTCACACAACAAACTGAAGAAAGCACAGACAAAGAATGAAAACTCTGCTGTTGGGAGAGAACTAAGGGCTCGGTGGGTGGAACAAAGTGCTTGCCTAGCACGCATGAGGCTCTGGGTTCGATCCCTAGCCCCAGGTGAAACCCAAGAGCGGTGGTGCGTGCCTACACCTCTAGTATTCCAAAGATAGAGGCAAGAGGATCAGAAGTTCAAGGTCAGCCTCCAACACACAACGAATCCAAGGCCAGCCTGAGTGACGTGAAACCTTGCCTTAAAACAAAACAAAGTCACAGTCCTGTGAAAATTCATTCCTGTGTGGATAAGAATTCTCTCTGTGTGTTATGGAATGAATAAAATAATATAGGAAGGAATAAATCATAACTAACTTGCTCAGAACGAGCTAATGGCTGTAGGTGTCTCTCCATGCATTAGGGTTAGTGTCTATCGTATAGATTTAAAACCAAGAGCTCCAGAAGTCAGCACTCAACATTCTTATGTGAGGGAATGAGTAGCCCTGGACAGGCTCATCCCTACCACTAAGACAGTTCTAGGGGACTCACGGAATCATCGTGCCCTGGAAGCCAGTGTCTTAGTTAGGGTTTCTATTGCTATGATAAAGACCATGACGAAAAGGAACTGTGGGAGGAAGGGGTTTTCATCAGCTCACAACTCTCCGGTCACAGTCCATCACAGATAGCAGACAGGGCAGGGACTGGAGGCAGACACAAGCAGGAGCCGTGAAGGCTTCTTACTACTGCTGCTTACTGGCCGGCTCCTCTTGGCTTGCTCAGCCTGCTTTCTTACAAAGACCAGAGGCAGCACAGGCCCCAAGAGTGGGGTCCTCCTCCATCCATCACTAATCAGGAGAATGCACCATAGCCTTCCCCACAGGCCAGTCTTCTGGAGGCATTAACTGAGCTTCCTTCTTCACATAGGTCTAAGTTGTATCAAGTTGACAAAACCAACCGGCATTGTCAAGGAACTTTCGGGGCTGTTGTCTGTGTCGGTGTTGGTCGTCACCTTCTCTACAGTAGGAAAGGGTGTGTGATGGGTATCTCAAGCACACCTAGGGAGTCACTGAACACTGGCTCTGAAGGGACTATGGAAGGCAGAAAGCAGCTCCATGTCCCACCATCTCTGGTGTCCTTCATCCTAATATGTCCATCTTTCAAGACTTGGCTCTCTCCTCTCTCTCTCTCTCTCTCTCTCTCTCTCTCTCTCTCTCTCTCTCTCTCTCTCTCTCTCTCTCTCTGTGTGTCTCATAGCCAAGGCTGACCTTTAACTCTTGCTTCCACATCCCAAGCACTGGAATTACAGGCATGTTCAACCGTGCCCCACATTTTCTATTTCATCCCTACTGAACCAGGTCTATCATGAGATGCTCTCTTCCAGGGCTAATTCTGGTCCAGGTAATTGCAATGTCTTCCCATTCCAATGCTTGAGCTATCCACTTACAATGTCATCGAGCTCACGTTTCTTCCTTCCCAGTCCTGACTCTCATGTATTTCTCACCTGAATCGGCCTGATTCTCCTACTGGCATTTACTGGGCTCTTGTCTAGTTCCCCACGTGCTGAGGCCATGTTTATTTTCAGCTCAGTCAAGGAGCCTAGAAGAGGGTTTTCTGACTCACTGGCATCTGGATACATAAACACATGCACGAGTTCACAACATGGCTTCATTGCAAATACTTGGCTTCCTGTGTGTCAACACAACTAATTATCTTGTCACAGAGAGGTGAGACAAACCAATCTGACCCATTCCTATCGTCTACACTCCAGAGTATAAAATGACCCCAAGGAACACCGTGGCTTAGATATCAGTTTTTATTTCCCATAACAAGCAGGACACTTAATAAAGCAATAACTTAGATGACAAAACTCGGAGATCTAATAAAGTGGTAGTATTAAAAATAAAGGCCGGTTATGTCCACAAGAGGGCGCTGGCCAGCGTGTGTGTAGCTGCCATTGCTGCCGTTGTCCACAGCGCGCGGACATGTGCGTGTTGCTGTCCATAGTAAATGGACATGTTCTGAGGAGCACCACTTACATAGGAAGCTTCCAGAAAACCCACCCAATCTGAGGCTGTGGGTGGCAGCTGCTGGGATGATCTTTGGGGTGACTGGGAAAGGCTGGGTCAGGACAGTGGATAGAGGCTGGGGCTGCTGTAGCCAATCAGAATCCAGGTTACATAGTTGGGTTTGCTGGGGACGGGGGATAGGATTCTGAGTTACTCCGAGTACAGTGTCTCTCACTCTCAGGCAGAATTCACAGGGCAGTCATGGTTTTTAGCTGGTGAATGAGTTTCAGAGCTCAAAATGCAGAGAGGACATCAAAGGCACTTTAGGAAGGACATAGGTCAGGATTCCCCATGGTCTTCCTTTGAAGTCAACTCTGAGCCTTAGGAAGGGGACCTTGCCTTCCCCAGGCCCCTGAGCACCATCTGTAGGGTCTCCCTCCTCATGCTGAGGTGCAATTGCAGGTTTGTCTGCGAAGGGCTCAGCATGGTGCCCATCCTCATGCATTCCTGGGAGGGAGCCAACCCCAATACCAAGGAAAGCAAGAAGAAATCCACTGTGACATTAACATGACTCGGGGGATGATCAATACAATGAAGTTTCAAGAGCTAGACCTGGTAACGATGAGGTAATGAAGATGCCCAAGCTGGCCACCCTCGTGGGTCCAACTTGCAGCAAGGTGGCCATGGACCACTTCCTCCCTTGCTGAACATCACAGTGAAATCAGACAGTCCACAAACAGATGAATGGATGAGGAAACAGTGCATATTTATAAGATGTGTGTGTGTGTGTGTGTGTGTGTGTGTGTGTACTCTTGTCATAAACAATGAGATGGTGTCATTTGTTACCAAAGAATAAGCTATCTCTTTCAACACAAACCTTTGCTGGGGTCTTGGTCATCTCTCAATAGTCTGAACTGAAGCCCCAATCTCCCCTGGACATTTGTATGTGGCCCTGTAAAATCCTGCCCTGTTCTATAGTTTGGGGATCCACAGATACTGGATGTCTGGGGCTCAAGTGGCTGAGGACAGAAAGGTTGTCATGAGAAGATGCTGTGGCCACAGGGAACACCAGCCTTTCAAAGCCCAGCCCAGGTGGCTCTCCAGGACTGAAGGATGACCAGAGGTGTGGGGCGTGTGATTGAGGAATCTTGAGAGTCGCTCACCTGCCCAGACACCAACAGCAATGTTTGCCCAAGAGTCTCAGCTGTCCCTCCCCATGTTCCAAGGACTCCAGTGATTGCTCAGTTCCTTATGCTTTCAAATGCACTATGACCTCACGGAATGCTATCACCATGTCCAAATGACGTAAAACCCTCCGGCTAGCAGTGGCTGTCAGGCGCCTCAGGCCTGGGAAGCTGTTTTTAAAATATCCAATTTAAGAACGTTCTTGACAACAGGGGGTAATCCTGACTGCAAGTTTTGCTTCACTAGAATTAAGTCAACCTGGGGGCTCTGGGAGTCATGTGACTGGTTCATCAGACTTTTAGAGGCACAATTATAAATGATTCAGGGATCTGGTTCACTTTCAAAACATCTGGGAACAAACTAACCATATTTCTTATTCAAATATGCAAAATGTGTCTTCAAACAGGCTGCTCTTCAACTAAGGGCCAAGCGGCCCTCAGCACGGAAGGCTCGAAGAAGCTCCAGGTGCTTTCTAGAAATGGCAGAGTGATTAAGAAGGGTTAAAAGCTGTGGGCCCATGGGCCAGAAGAAGGCAAAAGTACCTCGATCCCGGTCCACACAAAGGCGAGCACAGCACCTTAGAGAGCCCTTCCTGGGCAGACACGTCAGACTCGCCTAAGCTCAATGGCTGAGAATGTTGGGCTTGACCTCCAAGATACAGGTGCACTAGGGTCATCCCAGACGCTGCAACATAATATAACCCAGGACTCGGGAATGAACCAGTTTGCAGAGAAATACAAGTCCGCTGGGTTCGGGGATGTTGAGGCTGGATGGAAGCTGGCAGGCTGGTGAGCCTTCTCACAGCATGGCTACCCGAGTTCTGTGGCTCTCTAGCAGGAGTTCTGATGCCAGGTTCTTATCATACAGACTTGTGTCTCTGAGGTATCCTCCTGTGGTAGTTTATCTCCATTATCAACTTGACTGGACTCAGAATCACCTGAAGGCAAAACTCCGAGTATGTCTGTAAGGGTGTCTCCAAAGACATTTAACTGAGGGAAAACCCACAGCAAATGTGGGTGGCATCCTCACGTGAAACCAGGGCCACAATAATCCCTCTCGGCCCCCTCTTACCCCCACCTTGCCACCTCTCTCCCTTCAGTTGCTTTAGCCAGATAATTTCCCACAGCAACAGAAAGCTAGCTCACACACTTTCTTAGCGTGCCTCTTGAGAGCACTTGAACAACCTGGAGCTGCCTCAGCAGGAGCCTCAGCTGGGCGCAAGGAGCAATTCACAGACACCTGAGCATACCACCATGGAGCAGAGAGCTGCCCCAGTGAACCCACACTGTTCTGTAGACTCCACGCTGTGACTCCTTGGAACTAAAGGGCTAATAGTAGGAACCAGAAAGACTGGCTCAAAAGAGTCCCTGTCCCCAAACTGCCACCTCACTGGCCTGAATCTCAGAAAGACCTGAAGTAGCAGGCTGGGGTGGGGGTGGGGGGCTTTCTGAGGTGTAGTCTTGGCTGGAGAACACAGAGGCAGCAGAAGGTGCCCAGGTACTGTGAAGGTGCCCTGGGGCCGGCTCCTGAGACAGCAGAGCCCAGGGGAAGTGGCCTGGGCAGCTAAGGATCCACACAGACTCTGAGGTTCCTGGGCTCCAGCCATTGGAGTGTCCGTAGGAAGACATGGCAGGTACAGTGGCCATCTCAGGCTTGGTTACCTTCAGAGGTCCTTGAATGGAGGAAGACCACACTGCAGAAGAAAACAAAAATGGTAGTAAGAAAGAGAGAAAACCAGGAAAAGTCACCCAGCCAAGAGGAAGTGACCATCGGCTCCCATACTAGATGTTCCCATCAGGACACGGGACAGCAGCCTCTTGTGACAACCCGGAGAAAAAGTATCCAGTCCCTCCCCCATCTCAGTCTGTGACAAAGCATGGGCCACTCTCCCACGGAAGGACAGAAGCCTCTGTGTTTAGGAATTGGTCCAGACACAGGGATAAATGCGGGAAGAGTGGCTGTACCAGAATAATACTGATGATGTGGATGTGGTCCACATTCGTGCCCCCAAACTCCATACTGTCAACATGTGACTTATCCCCTTCCCCGCCCCCACTCCACCCCATGCCATGTGGCTCACCCCTCCCCTGCCCCCACTCCACCCCATGCCATGTGGCTCACCCCTTCCCCGCCCCCACTCCAAGCTCACACCTCAGGCCTGTGCCTCCTGAACACCAGCTGTGGAATGGGAAGCCGTGGCCTCTCCTCCTGTCTCCTTTGTTGGCTGGAGCTGCAGGATCATGGCCTGCAGTGTTTCCTTCACCATCTGGAGCTCCCCCTGGAGAGACTGTGGAAGCTATTAAGGAGCACACAAGGAGGAGAACCCCCCCCCCCCAACCCGGGCCAGTGAGAGCAAGCCGGCCTGCGCAGAGCAGGTGAACACTGACATTGAATCGCAGCTCCATACTCTTCCAAAATATAGCAATTAAATATTGATGAAAACTTTACACTTCCTCTTTTAAAAACCAGTCATGACTTCTGCCAGGTCCAAGGTTATTAACTTTCGAATTTTGGTTTCAAACCTCTGAAGAAAGGCTCAGTTGTCAAGCTGAGATAGATGTCCAACTCAGATGCTCAGTGACAGGTGACGGTGTGGCCACAAGAGTGTCTCGGTCCCCAGGCTGCGGTGGATAACTGTCACATTCAAGTGCTCTGACAGCAGACAGGGCAGGTGTTGGACATCAGAGCCTCAAGAAACCTAGCATTCAGGGCTGCGGTGAGAGGGACCCCTTAACCCTCAACATCAACTCTGTGCATGGGGGCACTTGACATTCAGGGCTGCGGTGAGAGGGACCCCTCAACCCTCAACATCAACTCTGTGCATGGGGGCACTTGACGTGAGCCCGCCAGTTCAGCATCAGGGACTGTGCGCTCACAAGGGTCATTTCAGCCCCTGGGACAAAGCCCTTCAGAGCTCTGTTTCTTCTCAATGGGTAACTCTGGACTCTGCTCTACCCTAGGCTCCAGTCTGCTGCCATCTTCCCCAATTTAGAGTGAAACGCCTATCCACCATGAAAAAAGTCTTTTTTTTAATCTTCTGGAAGTTTCCACAGATTTCAGTCCTTTGTGTCATGTCCCGGAATGTCCACCATCTGCACCTGAACTTGAAGGGAACATGGCAAAGCCAGAGAGGAAGCCATCCACTAAAATGCCTTTGTGTTTTGTTGTAAAATGTGATTTTATCCTCCATCCCTCCAGACCTCTGGAAAGGTCTGTCCATCTCGAGACAGCATGGGGGAGTCATATGACTTTATGCAAGCTGAAACTTGTGTCCCAGACTGAACACCAAGATGCAATTTGTCATGAGGTCTGGTATCTTGTAAGGAGTAAGAGGGTACAGTGGGCTCTGGGTCCTGACAACGCCCTAGGATCTGACTACCTCTGATGCTGGTCTGGGGCCTCACAGCACTCTACTCTCCTAAGCGATGACGAGGTCTTGTAGAGAGAAACGAAGACAAACAGCGATGCTCAGGAAACTTCTGGGACCACAAAGCTAACTAAAAAAGGCTAAAGACAGAGAAAAGTCACCAGAGGAAGAGACTAAATTATAAAATTGAATTAACACATCAGCTTCACACATAATAATTTCCATTATTGCACCAAAGAATCAGGAAGATGGGATCTGAGAACGCAAGTCTCCTGGGAAGCCAGGGATCGTATCATGTGTACTTAATTGTCCATCTGTAAACTATAGAATCTCACAGCTTAGTCACAGAGGCAGGGCCTACAGCAGAGGGAGGGGGCAGAACGAGGGAAGGGAGAAGGACACATGCGCGCGGGCACACACACACACACACACACACACACACACGCACGCACGCACGCACGCACGCACACACGCATGCACCTGCCGGGAGCTGCAGGCACACTCATCTCTGAACAATGAAATCAGTTTCTCACCTTTCCAGTTTCTCATCTAGGAGCACTGATCAGGGCTAGACTGGTTTTAGACGCTTGTACAGTAAAGCAAACTGTGTCCTCAGAATGGACTTTTAAGGGAGAACCCCCCTATTTTCCATCTTATGTCTATGAATAAGCTGACATGCATACACTTATCATCAGACGCATTATGGGACGGGAAGAGGAAAGTGGCTATATAACTTAAAAATCTGTCGGTTAAAATAGAGAAACACGCAAACCATACCCTTAGTAACCAGATTCCTCCTCTTGAAGCCCATGAAAGGTGCCCCGAGATGACAATCAGGGCCCCTGAGAACCTGCACTCACGTCCGCTGTCATTCTTGGAAGCATATTTTCTGGCGGGTGCTGTCGCTTTCCTGTGGCGGAAGTAGCCTTGCTGCTTCCACAGACCCGTGCACACTTATTTCAGTGCTTTGAATGAGGCACCAAGAACCTGGAGATACCTGACCCAGATCCTGTTCACTGGTGGCCTGCGATGTGCCCGGGGAGATTGGGTCACCAACCTCATGCTGAGTTCATACTGTGTCCCACTGGCAGAAGGACCATCCTGGTCTGAACACATTGTCTGCTCCAACTTTTCCTACCCAGACCTCGGCAGGAGGCAGAAGAAAACACGTGGCTGCCACCCCTCCATCAGCCGGGCATGCACAGGGCCTCGAAGAGCAGCCTGCCTGGCTCTCTGCTCTCCTACTATAAATTACTAAAGATCTTCCCAGGCGTCCTTGCTGCTCCTTAGTGTTAGAGGTAAAAGAACATTTCAAGGAGGCAAGACAGTAACCCCTCGGCTCTGAAACCTTGGCATCTTCAGGCTACACACTGGAAAGTGGAACCAGACAGGAGCCCTTTGGGGCTGTGGAGTTTTATGCATGAGCCTGGATACATTTAGTCTCTGCATGCCATCAAGGCTAGCAAGACGAATCAATTGGGCACCATGCATTCCCAATGAGCAGAGAGAATAGGCTCCCAAGAGGGCTTCTGGACTGGAATGCAAATGCCTTGTAAACAGAATCAGCCCGGTCCTTGCTCATCCATGACTCAGCAGAGGCTGGCAGAACTGCCTGGGGCTCTGAAAGATGCCAGGATACGCCAGGCTTCCTTTCTGCCCATAGTGAGCTATGGAAGTCAAAGGAAAAAGAAAGGGGGCGGGGATTCTGTTTAAAAATTCACGGAGCCTAAAAGCTTTCCAGTTCCGGCATTCTGAACGTGGAGGAGCAGTTACAGAGCCGCGAGAGGGATTTAGGAACAGAACTGCTGATTAGAATCCAGAATCTGTGCAATCATGGTGCAGATTCAGACCACTGCTAATGGATCCCCAGTATGCCTGGCTGTGAAGTCACATCCCTGTCCCACCTCTGGAGGCTTCTTGCGCCCCTCCTCGCCTCCTGCTCTCCCGGTTAGCTGCAGTTCAGAGGCTCCCGGTCACCTCAGCTGATGGCTTAAGTTGTTCACAATGCCTGTAACGGAGGAAGCCCGCCAAGACAACAAAGAAACAGCCTATCTGTTTCCTCCATCCTCGGCTCTGCCAATCCAGCCTTCCTCTCCCACCCGGCCTGCTGCTGTGACTCTGACACCGACAGGCTGTGCAAGAATATTCAGTAGCTTTAGAAGCGCCCACCATATTGCACGTCCCCAGGCCACCCCTCTGTGTGTGAAATACTAGCACACCACCTGCTTTGCTCCTGCAGACACGTGGCTTACAATAAGGACCAACCCCAGGAAAGATGGACAGCCACCGTATCTGGGGCTCAGACCCTCCAGAAAGGTGTCCCATGTGGGTTTACATCAGCACACTCTAGCGTGGACTTGGGCTAAACACGCATCACCTGCTACGTGTACACAGTGGTCCTGGCAGCATGCTTAGTGGGATCAAGGGAGACACCGCCCTCCCTGCTCTGTTCTGTTCTGCTGCGTTACTGGTTCCAAGCCTTTTCTTTCAGAAACACTCAGCATTGTGCCTTTGATTGCGAAGGAAAACACATACCAGCCAGACTTTGGCTGGGGGATTCCTGCAGCCTCTTTGGATGCCTTGATAAATTCTAATTTGAAACAACAGCTTTTGTTTGTGAGGGAGCCCCGCAGAGCATTGTGAATGCGGACTCCCGACTCAGACTCATTATTATACCCGAATCCAAGTGCTACTTCACGGAGCTTAAAGACGCATTCTGTATGTTATTCTTGCCCAGTGACACAGAACACGGCCTGGATTCGGGGGAAAGTTGGGGTAAATATGTGTTGCGGTGTAGATGTTATCTACGGAAGGGTTGATTTCATACCTAACCCAATGCTTCCCGTCCCTAGTGGTATGGTACTCATTTGAAATGTCCTGGCCGGGCCCAAGTGCTTGGACGCTTGGTGTACAGCTGGTAGGGCTGCGTGGTGGGGTTGTGGAACTTTTAAGCAGTGATTCCTGACTGGTGTAAGTGGGTCACTGGAGACGAGCCTTGAGGGTCTTAATCCTGGTCCCCCGCCCCCTACTTCTGGCTGGAGCTCTCTGTTTCCTGAGCTACTGAAGATATAAGAAGTCACCCCCATGAACTCCCACCACGAAGGGTAGCATCACCAGCTACCATGCCTTCGCACCATGATAGTTTGGATCATGAGCCACATTCCGCTCAGCTGTCCCAACCCCTCCCAAGCCTGGCAGACCTGGGACCCACACACACACACACTCCCTGTCTTTGCCTCTGTCAACAATCACTGTCCAGTTTCATAGACAACACACTCGCTAGAAGCATCCATGTCTGTGATCTATTAACACGTTACCTCCTTCTCCTTCTGCTTCCTAAGGCAACTGCAGTAATGGCATCTATCCTGGAGCTGGAAGAGGCAGGAGGCTGTGCAGAACTGAATGCTCTTTAAAAAGGTAGAAACGATGGCAGAAACCATTCAAGGAAAAGCCCGCTGAGTTGATAAGCACGTAAAGTCATCAGGAAACACACTGCCTCCGTGCCTGGCCACGCATCTGAACAGGTCTGAATAAGAACAGCCTTTGACTGTCCAAAGCGACTTAAATATATGCGTGGAGACAAAGTAAAACAGACACTAAGGTTCTAAAAAGTCAGGCAGTGAGAAACAAAGACCAACATACCTAAATTTCCCATAAACAGATAAACAAAGAGAGTAACAGACAAGGAGGTGAAGAGCTACAAAGGGCCACTTGTGACAAATCAAACTGAGGGATTCGGGGTAGGCTAAGTACGCCTTTCCCCACCTGTGTTACCATGTAACTCTTTAACTGACACCTTGCTGGGACCCAGAATCACCTGAGAGGGGAACCTTCTGAAGAAATGTCTACATCGGGTGGACCTGTGGGGGGCTGTCTTGATTGTTAACTGAACTACGGGGATCCAGCCCCCTGGCACATTTTTCTAGGCTAGACCCTGAGTTGTACAAGAGACGAGAAAGCTTGTTGGGTAAGCAAGCAGGCAGCATGGGTGCGTCTGCTGCTCTCTGCTTTCGACTGTGGCTGCTGTGTGACTAGTCTGGCCACCTGAGCTCCTAGCCTGTCCCTCAGTGATGAAATTTAAACAGGAAGTGTAAGCCAAATAAAACCTAAGCGGCTTTCAGTCAGGGTGTGACAGCAACTAGGGATGGAACTAGTTCAGAACCCAGTCACACTCTTCCAAAGAGCTCACTAGTGACAAACAGCATGTGTCCACCACCAGGGACAGTGTGTGCCCCATTGTTAGAAATTAGGTGCTCCCCCAGCCTGCCCTTCAGGGACTCAGCACCGGCAGACGCCAAACCTCATGGTCGGCCTCCAACAGGTGTGGTACATTACCGCTGTAACTACAAGTTGTGTAGTCTCCCTATGCAACATGTGTGCCCTTTTAAAGGCCACTCCCAACATCACGGCCTTCTCTTGTTCTTTCTCTCTGCCTTCCAGTCTCTTTGTCTGTCTGTCTATCTCTCTCTCTCTCCCATGACCCCACTCGAAAACAACAAACACATCTCAACAAATCCCTTACATGCTATCTGCTGTGTGGTGCGATCTCTTTGCAGCAGGAATTGGCCCAGATCTGCCAAGGCACTCTGCCACTAAACCCTAACACCGATTCCATCAATAAATCCTAATACCCAGTGCATACACAAGTGAGCCCATGTGTCCTCTTCCCACCTGATTAGGGCAGCTAGCTTTGAGGTAGGTGTCTGTAGCTGTGACATTAAGATGCGGAGGTTAGTGCAAGAAAATAGAATTTTCAGCACCAAAAAGGACTGTGTGAAGCTTAACCATGAATATGTGTTAGATGTCAGAAAGAAGGTACCTGCGGTGGTATTAGTTTAGACACCCCACTATCTATGACATGCAGAAGGCAGGAAAAAGAACTTCAAAAAAGGCTTTGCATCTCTAGGTATTGAAGAAGCCTTTAAGGAGGTGAGCCACTAAATTGTTTGGCTCTTTCTGGTTGTTTCCCTATGGCCACACAGACCCATCTTTGAGCTCACCAAAACCTCCATTTTGCCTTGGTTTTGGCTGTGTGCCTAACTGAACTCTGTGGCTAATACTTAGCAGCTGGGTTTGATAATTGAAAAGATTGGGTGGTTTACAAAAACCAGGGGTGAAGTCCTCCACACAGAATCAACTCAGATCCAAGATGCGCTGAACTACAGGTAATAGCGGCATTGGTTCCCCTCCATCTGCAGAGGCACGAGGATGTGGTACGCATTTTTAGATTTTTCTCTTGCAAAGTAACTTCTGAAAAATGGAAAGGATATGAAAGAGAGCTTCATCGGGACTGTGGATGGCTCTGTGAAGTTGATCTTCGAGGTGCAGGAGCCTCACGCCTATGGCTTCACATTTTTCTCCAACTTCAGCAGAAATGATGTGAGATTCCTGATCAGAGAATAAGGAAAAGACCATGAGTCAGCCTTGGGATCCCGAGGGCTTTGTGTACAGTCAGGACACACAGACAGCTTTCCTGGGTTAGCTGTGGGATTCTTAGGACAGCAGCCAAGACTAACAAACACCTTGGTCACGCCCAAAATCAGTCAGAAGGAGGGGACATCTGCAGAGCAATGATTGGCAGTGGCTGGATCACGAGTCACACTTGGAATGCAAAACAGTGTGGGTGGGTCAAATTGTGACCACCAACAGGAAAAGAAGGGACCCAACACTACGCCTTTAATCCCAGCACTTGGGAGGCAGAGGCAGGCGGATCTCTGTGAGTTTGAGACCAGCCTGGTCTACAGAGCTAGTTCCAGGACAGGCTCCAAAGCCACAGAGAAACCCTGTCTTGAAAAACCAAAAAAAAAAAAAAAATAAAAGCAAACCGAACACCTCAGTCTTGTTCCAAAAGGATCAGCTAATAAAAAATAAAAGTTAAATGGCACAAACTAAAAAGTACAGCTTCACAATTCCCCCAGGCAGGCCATCTCTGAACATGTCATGCAGGCTGGCAGTATGGGTGTGAACTTGGGCCACCTCAGACGTCACAGCGAGCCCTGTTAGTTGTCCCTGTCCTGTGACTTGGTGCTGGGTGATTACTCTTCCTGGAATCTATCACAGAGAAACAATTTACATATTTAAATTGGGATTATTTCTATTAAGACTTTGTAATAGGCATGGAAATATCATACGGGTGTGTGCACATGCCCAAGAGAAATAGAAGATTTGAACCACACAAAGATAAAAGCATTAGGAGTCCAGCAAAATAATGGGAGAAAACAGCCCAGGCATAGCGAGAATGGTTAGAGACAGTGTGTGTGTGTGTGTGTGTGTGTGTGTGTGTGTGTGTGTGTGAAGTACAGACCATTTCCAGGTAAAAATCCTCCAAAAGACATGTAACAGTAAGACCAACATACTTGATTGTAATAGGACCATGGCCCTTACTTCCCTCTGGCCTGAGAGGAAATGGCCCTTTGGTGAACACTCAGCCTGACGAGAGATTTACATTGTGAGGGGCGGGAGAAAGAAACATGGTCACTGTTGCCCAGCCTTTACACCCACTAAGGTGCGTGTTGGCTGCGTGGAAAAAGAATAAGGGGGATGCTCTGCCTCAATGGTGGTGCTCAGTGTGTGTGTGTGTGTGTGTGTGTGTGTGTGTGTGCTGCTCACTTGAGAGAGCGTGGTCTCTTCCTGGTGCTGAGTGTGTGTGTGTGTGTATGTGTGTGTGTGTGTGTGTGCTGCTCACTTGGGAGAGTGTGGCCTCTTGGGAAGTGTGGAGCCCTCTACACCAGCACTGGCTTCTTCCTTCTCTAACAGCAGCCATCTGAAGCTGTTCTCTCCAGCTGGGGGGGGGGTCGGGATCTGCACACCCTGGGGGTGCCCCCGCGGAAAGGAACAGAGTTTTCCTGAGAACCACACGCCGGTTTCCTTTCTTGCGCATTTCTTCTGCTGTGAAGAACTCGTCTAAAGTTAATAAGACAAAATATGATAGGAAGACTTGTCTCCTCCCTTCAGAATAAAGGAAATGTTTTCAAGTTGTCCCTCAAGAAACCCCAGAAACACTGAAAATCCCGTGTAAGTCAAAACGGTGAAGTAAGATGCACGTTGTTGGCTGGAGGTCCCACACTGGGTTCTACCTGCCTGGGGCACAAGCCCCTCTGAAACTATCAAAGTATAGGCATCAGCGAACAGCTGGCACAGACACAGGTTTTGAGGGCATCCCGGGTTCCCCAAGAGAGCTCTACCTCCCAGGACAGGGTGCCAGCTGGGCGGGTCTCAGGGACCACCTAGCATCGTCCCTTTTTTTCCATCTAAGGAAAATGTCTCAGATGACAGGGGCACCAAGACTAGTCGCTCCTAGTCCACCTCAGTGAAACACAGAGTCCGCTCTGAGTTCCTAGAGGGTTCCGCTCCTAAAAAGGGAGAAGGCGGGGCGCTCCCTCTAGGGCCAGTGCTTACAGGGACCAGAAGTGGCAATGTTTATCCTGACAGTGTTGAATCCGGCACCTCTGCAGTGTCTGTAATGCATCAGACAAAGAAAACTTGTATGATTGATACTTGGTAATTAAAAATTACCACCATGCCCATCCTCCCCTCAGAATTCTTGGCTGAGTCTGGCTTTCTCCGGATCAGCAGTTCTGAGGGTGATTTAGTGTGAACTGTAACAAAGTGTCTCTGAAAACTGCCCTGTAAGCCCTCCTGTAATTTGCCCCTTGAGCAGTCTTTTCAGCAATTCAAATTGTTATTTTTTTCTTTCCTAGACACTCCGTCTGTCATTTACCCAGAGGGGCTTCTGTTTTTCCCTGTGGGTCAGAATGAACAAGTCTCTGCAGAAGGCAAACTGCCTCATGGCTCTTCCCCTCCTGGGCACCCCCGCACACACCCCCAGTTCTCAGACCCTTGTAATTCCTCTTCAGGGAACACCTCCATGAGGAAGCCCCGCCCACACAAACTCCAGCAATCTGCTGCCCTGTTCCTCCACCAGGCTGCAACCCAAAGATGTCCTGACATCTCTGCTGACCCCTCTCTCCTGCCTCCCTCCAAGGAAGCCCTTGCCTGTTGAGCCCTTCCCCTGCCCAGTGCTAAGGGTTAGATTTGTTTTATCCCTGTTAAGGCCGTTGTGGGGAGACTTGTCCCCAGAGCAGCAGCACTCAGTGGGGCCTGATGGGAGCACACAGGACCACCAGGTGCTGCTCTGGGAAGGGATGGATGCCAGTGTCTGGGGTTACTCTACTACTGGGAGGAATGTTATAAAAGAATAAGCCTCTCTGACTTCCTCTCTCACTGTGTGATTGGCTCTGTATGATGTAATGCCACTTACTGAGAGGTCACGAGGCCACAGGGTCCCTCATTAGAGGCCAAACAATGGGGCTGTCTGGCTGACCATGAACTGTTAGACTCACTGAGAACTACAATATACCTTTCTTCTTTATAAAGCGTCCAGACTTAGGCACTTGGTGACAGCAATGAAACATAACCTAATGCAGAAAGTCCTGAAGAAGCTTTGCAGTATCTTAGACGGTACTAGACAGACGATGCTCTCAAGATGGGTGGGCAGAGCCAGATAAAGAAACCTTTTCCAAACATCAAATGCCTGTCTATGCCTCAATACAGACTATAATAACCTGTCTGGGGTAATCCCTCTGCCTCTGGGGCAGCTGCTGGTCTTGAATGACTACAACAGCATTTTATGAACACACACATGTGCACATGCACACATACATGCACACATGTGTTGAAAATAGAAACTGTCTCCAGGAGGGGACAAGTCCTTGTCCCCTATTTAGGGTTAATCCTGTGGGGCAGGTCAGGGGCCTGGCTGGTGGCCACGCCGTGGAAGGCAGGTTCACCTTAAGATAATGGACATTTTCCTTCCCAGAATTCCTGTCCCCTAGTGTAGCATCCTTGAGGTTCCACTGGGTCTGTCGGCCTTCCTGAGCCAAGCTTTTCCGCTACCTTCTTCTTGTGGATGCTGCCCATGCTTGCTCCTCTTCTCCATTCTCCTCCCTATAAGATTTGCAGCTCGCCTGCCCTGGGGTTTTCAATGCTAACAAATCATCCTTAGGCTTTCATTTGATTGCATTCTTCCTCCCTAAGCCTCTGTGTTCTGTTCTTAACTTTTTTATTAATGAGGCTAAGACGCCTGAAATGTAACCCCAGTTTCTCCAGTACTATACGATGGCTTTTCTGGGAAGTCTATGGTGTCTGGTGAATACCTTGTAATTCTTTAATATGGAGAGAAAATGATCCCTTTCTTGCACTCCCAGATAGCATCATGTGACACATACATACACACATGAGTGCACATGCAAACACACACACACACACACACACGCACCTTTTATTGACCTCAGAGGATGCCCTCTGACCTTACAGGCAGTCCCTCCATGGGTGAGTTCAGTAGAGCCAGCATCACTCCAAACATCATTTGCAGGTCACCTTGTGATCAAACCCGCAGGCCCATGACAGACCTTTTTCAGCTGCGTTGTTAAAGCTGATGTCAGATTTTTGTCCTGCTCCCCTAGTTCAAAGAGCCTGGTTTAAAACAGAAAGTATAGCTCCCTTTGATGAGCAGAACATTCTCAAGACAACTTTCTAAAAGTACAGACCTAAAACGTACACTTTAGATCCACTGACTGGCAGGATACTAACCCACATGTGTGGCGGGACCATCAACACTCCACAGCTAGCATCTTTGAGGGCTTTTTTACTTAGTCAGATCTCCTGTAAAGGTGGTTAAGTCCTTATAGAACATTTGGGAAACACAACATTTAGAAGCTTTGAACTGGAGTTCATATTCCAATAATAATGGCTGTCATGATAAGCACTTGGTAACAGTGTTAAGCTGTACCTACAGCACGAGAAAGTCTTATATATTATTGAATATATGAATATGATATATGAATATGATCCTTTGGAATAGGAAGTCCATTAAAATCATTGCTAGGTGGGGTGTGCTCTGTGTGTGCCGTAGGAAAGGCCCCCCACTGCACAGAATGCACGGTTTTGGAAATGTCACCATTGGTGATGATCTACTGCAAACTCAAGCAGACAGGCCACCCCTTTGGTCACACACTGGATTGACATTGTTTAAATAGCCAACTTCTCAAATTGTTCTCCAAAGCCATTCTAAGGGAAGAGGCAGGATGAGGCATTGGAGTCAAACAACTGAATAAGAAAAACCATGTAACTAAATAATAAATCAACTACCGCGAGGATTTAACAGGCATACGTACGTATAGGAAGTATGCTAACCTGGGACTGGATTCCAAAGCCACAGCCAACCTCCACTGTTGTTGCGGGGTTGGGGGAAGGTGACAGGCAAGATGGAGACCACAAGCTCCTGCCTGAGCTGCCATCTTGGCTATTGTCCTGTGCCATAACTCAGTCAGCTCACCCAGGGCCCTATCTTCCTCAGTCATGTAATAAGGTGTCTGCCATAGCCACCT